ATTTATTATACTTGATTATTATTTTTTTTTTTTTTTTTTTATTAAGAAACAAAATACAATGCCACCCCCTTCTCTCTCCTTTTTTCATAACATATACTCTTACTTGAAACAGATTTAGTATACAATTTAGAAAATACACACATTTTTGGCCAAGTAAATACTACACCCTTGATAAAGTATTTTGCTATGTCGTTCTTCTCTATTCCGGAGAAAGTAATGTTAGTGTGTGTTCTCTTGTGGTAATTTGCTCGCTCAACAACGTCTCGTCAAGATGGTGTACTAAGATTTTTTGTAATTTATAGTTTTTTTTTTTTTTTCTTATGCTATGATTAAATAAAAGTTATTGGGCCTGTTTTCGCTTTTGTATTTTTCATGTAAAAAGACTGTGTTTGAATGTAAGACGTTTTATGCTGTAATATTGAATTGTGAACTCTGGCGTTTAAAAAAATTGTTTCCCACTGTTTATTTTTAAAATATTTTCAGCACTCATTTCTAACAGGATTTTTTTCTCGGTCTGTTCTAAAATCACAGACTCAAACAAACAATGATTGTAAAATTATCTAAGAAACAGTTCTGTTGTTCAACAAAAAAAAAGGTACAAGTGACATGAATATTGGACCGCAGAAAAACTGTTTTTTATATAAATATGACATAATTATTCTATTTTCCACAAAAGAAGAACGATTTGTCGATGGGAACTAAGAAAATCTACACTTAGCCTTCTAACTTTTAGCAATTTCCTCGTAAAAAAAGGGTAAGTGCAAAAATACAGCTTATTCCATGGGACATGCCCTTTTTCTAGTTTGGAATCCAAGGCGATGCTCATCGACTTTACAACGTAAAAAAAGGGTAAGTGCACTTACGCTATCTACCTGGCGCGATTTTCACGTTTTGTGTCACCTTTTTTTTTGATCGCTGGTGAAAATTATTAGCAATTTTTCCAGTTTTCAATAAATTATTACTACATCACGGCATAAGATATTTAATTTATAGATGCTGAGACGCAGAATTGTCTGACGAATCGATTGGTATAAATAGCTCATTTTCGGCAAAAAAGTCACTTATACCTTTTTTTCCGTGGGACGGCAGAATCACACCATTGTATCATTGAATAAAGCTTATAAAATTTTAAACTATTGACCCAATCAGTTTTTACAATCAGTAATAAATTTAGGGATATTTAAAAATTCTTGCTATCACAAAGCTAAGAATGTAAAAATTGAGAGTTCTTCGAAATTGTGGTTAAGTAAAAATTTTTAATAATCATACACCAGCTAGTATTTTTGTTGCTGTTAAAAATTTAAGCTACAGTTGCAATTAAAGAAGATAATTATATCAGATGAATTATAATAATAGTGTGCGGGTAGATTTAGCCTCTTCTTAAAATACAAGTCATTGAAAAAAGTTGCTGAAGCTGCAAACTAAGCAGCAGTAACTTATAAAAAGTGTGAAAAAAAAAAAAAAAAAAAAATACCAGTTTATACGTAAACGAAAAATGACACGACATAATCGTCAAAATGTCTCGTTTCCCAAGTATGTTGAGTACCCGAATTGCAGTAAAAAGATCCATAACATTTCGGTCCAGCTGCTGAATATTGATTGAGACGAAAGAGTGGAAGGATCGAAAGCATCGGCTCGTCGTGGAAGAGATCGAAAATGCTTTCTCGGGCTATCACGCTTTCCTGTCTTATCCTAGACAATTTCACGATGCCAAGATGAGAAAAAACGTCCTTTTTTATCAGCGTTGCTTTTTTTTTCTGTATTGGCTTTGTCTGTTTAGAAAACGGTTTTCGTGGTAAGGAAAAAAAAGGCGGCAGGAGGGGGGGAGTGAATTGAGGGCCGATAGGCTAAGTGAAATTTATTGTAGCGCGCTCATGAGATCAAGTGCGACTGCGGTGCATAGGTGCTTTTCGCTGTTTCTTTCGTGGCTTGTGGGTCGGCGCGATATACACGCTTAAATTGAGGAATTGAGTTGGAGATTTTTCGTCACCGACAGATAGTTTTCTATCAAAAATAAATATTTTTTCCCTAGAGCGCACGGCACGTGAGTGTAGAAAAAAATCTTGAATTTTCTAATCATTCGATTCGATTAGCACGTGTGGGTGACTGGGTGTTGGATGAAATTTCACGATTTTGCATGATGATGTTTCGTAAAAAGATAATCTAGAGTGGAATTTTTTCGCACGTTTTTCGAGGCAAAATTAATAAAAATGTTTTTAGATGTTTGCCTTTCGGGGCCGTATGGCTTACAAATTAGTTTGGAGTTTTTAAATAATCCAAGACGTGTGTTATTTTTATGTAGATTTTAGCTATTCCATTTCATTACTTGATTCACGTAGAATATTTATTTACATTTTTGTACCAATTTGAAATGAGAATTTTCAGGTAACATGAAACTAATTTTTGATTTTGAGTAAATTTTTTGTAGTATTTGAAATATTTAATTTACAGTTCAATATTTTCAATCTTAATCTAATGTTATTAATTAATTTTGAAAAAATTATCTAAATCCTCTGTGCTCAATACAAAAAGGTGGGTGGACAAAAAGTAGCTACATCTTAATTTTTGCTAGAAATTCCAAAATTTGTTTAAAATGTTTTGAGAAATAAGTTATCACAATTGCCAATATTCGCAGGAAAATCAATTATGAAATATAGAATCTATAATAAATTTAAAAGAGCTTAGAAATTATTTACATGAATACATTAACACTCCACAAAAAACACAAAAAGATTTTGCTATAATTGGTACCTTGAAATATAATATATCAAGTTTTTCAGATTTTTGAAAAGTTTTTGTAATTTTTCTTTCATTAACTATAATAGAGTCTGGCTGAAATGGAATAAAATTAAAATTATTGGGTATCATTTAATATATATAGGTCAAAATGTGAGTGCAACGTAACGGAGGATGTCCCCGATTTTTATTCCAATCGTAAATGAAATGCATCAGCGATGGCCGTTGATAACTGGATTGTGCTCTACGCTCTGGAATTCAAACTCTACGGTCAGTGGGAAAGTTCTTGGTTGTATTGTTAAGTGACGACTGAGAATAATTTTTGCTGTTTTTTTTTCGTGTGGAATTATCAAAATAGTGTGTATATAATGATAATTTGCGTATAANATTATTTAAAAAATAAGTTTTAAGCCTTTCTCTTAGTTTTATTAAATAAATACAATACTTATAAACCAAGGGAAAAAAATAATATTACAGTTAAATGACCTTTTTCTACCAAAATTCAACAAAAACAATTAGACCGAATTATTTTGAAAAAAGTCAACAGCAACATTTTCAAGTTGACAAAATTGTTGTTATAAAGTACTGGTGAAGTATAGTAGGCCACGAATGAAACCAGAATTTAAATGTAAAAATTTATTTATTTACACTTATAGTTAGAAATATTCAACGTTTGTAAATAATTAAAAAACGATCTCAAGGTTTGTCTCCAGTAGACACAAACAATGGACTTCAACTGAAGTATTAAATCCATAACTTTTTAAAAACGCATTTTCAGAACAACTTTAATGAAATTAAAAACATCTAAATATAAACTTTAAATACTTGGATCAAACAAAAATGTAGATCTACTCGAGTGAATAACCGAATTACTGCAGATGCCCCAGTTACTACACTTTTGCATATAAACAACTTATTATAATTATTAAAAAAATGAATGGTATTTCAAACAAATTGTTTAGCTTACTACCGTTAATACTTGACTTGAAAAAATAAATGGTTAAAATTAACCAAGTTTTAGTTAATGTTTAAACGTTCTCATAATAAGCGTATATGTATACAAAAGCATTCTTGTTTTATTGTACTAATAAACGTGTCACAAATACATATTTCATAAAATTAAAAGCTCAAAATTTAGGTTGTGTCAATGTTTTTCATTAAAAGCAATACTATGTTTTCGATTTAACCATTTCCATAAAATTTTGTTGTTTTTGTTAATAACAATATGAAAAGCAGTCTTTGGTATGTAACACATTGTTTTCAGTACGACTGCATGAGTGCGGGCACATGGAAGTAATGGAACCCTATATGGAACGGCGTAAAGCGTATCGCGTCAAAGTTCGCCAATTTCACCACCACATGCACATTTGCACATCAGTTGACACAGAGTTCGTCTGCTCGCTAACTGCCCTTCCGGAAGAAAGTTTGTTTACAGGTTTACACTGGGTTGTACCCCTACGTGCGTGGTTATACGCTGATTTGTTTGCGTAGTGACTGATTTCGTGGGTTGTTCGTTTAAAATGAAAAAAGCGAAAAGTACCGTTTCCAAGGAAAAAAAGAAAAAAAAGCTCGAAAAGAAGTCACGAATGCAGTATTCGAAGGAGAAGATGGTACTGGCCGTAGAAGAGGTTAAACGAGGCAGTTCCATTATTGCCTCGGCAAGGAAATTCGCAGTGCCTGAATCGACGCTCAGGGCAAAACTACAAAACAAATACAACGACAAAAAGCCTGGGCCATCTTCCTTCTTGTCTCAAGAGCAGGAAAAGGAAATCGTTGATTGGTTGTTTTGCTGCTCCAAAGCTGGTTTTCCAATCACAAAATCTCAGTTGTTGCAAAGTGTGCAGGCATTTTGTGTTAATTTGAAGATCAAAAACCCGTTTACAGACAATAAACCGGGAAGGAGTTGGTATGGGTCTTTTGTCAAGCGTCATCCGGAAATATCAGTGAGAATCTTGGAAAACGTCAATTTGAATAAAGCAAAAGTCTCAGAAGATACATTAAAACAGTGGTTCACTAAAACATCTGAATATTTGAGTAGTGAAAATGTATTGGATATTGAACCAAACAGAATATTTACTTCGGATAAAACAGGCAACAGGAAACACATTCCTAAGCATGATTTCATTACATTATTCTTTATTTACAAAATTTATAATACTTACAAGTTTATCAATTCTAACAGGAATCTCAATTGTCTTGGCATCTACAAAATCTAAAAACAGAAATAAGAGGGAAGAAAATATTAAAGTTTTGGTGACAGGCAACGCTGCAGGAGATCTTGCGCCCACTTTCATACTCTTCACTGGGAAATCAATACCTAAAAATGCTGCTTTAAATGCTCCACCAGATTTTTCATTTGGATGCAATGAAAGTGGCTGGATGTTAGCCAAAACATTCTACGATTACATGGTAAACAAGTTTGAACCATGGTTGACTGAAAAAAAAATTGAACGACCAGTTGTATTTTTCATCGATGGTCATTCGTCGTATATCACACTGCCACTGAGCAAATTCTGTTCTGAGCACAAAATTGTACTTGTTGCTCTACATCCAAATGCCACGCACTTGCTACAACCTCTTGACGTGTCGTTCTTCAACTCATTGAAAAATCACTGGCAACAAATCCATGGTCAAGTTTGTGAAAACTCTGCATCCAAATGTATGAATTTTTTTTTTTTTTCTAGCTTTAACTTAAAAATCAACATAAACCTTGCATCTACTTTTATTCTACTAGGTATAAAAAAAAATCAATTTGCTCAAATTTTGAAATCGACATTGGGTAATTTAGATGTGAAAAAACTGCTTCAAAGTGGTTTTCAAAAATGTGGCTTATATCCATTAGATGCAGAAGCTCCCGATTACAGTAAATACATTAAAAATTCTAATCAAATATATTACGTGGATTGTACGAGTGCAGAACCTTTATATCCAAGCAATCCTCGAGTTGAAGATGTTGAAGTGATCGAAAGGTATTTAAGTACCGATCAACTACAACGATTCAGAGATAATGAAGATTTCCATTGGATAGGCCCAGCTGAGGATAAAAATCTTTTTACCGTATGGTGCCAAGCAAAACTATCGAGCGGGAATTTGAATGATCCGACAGATTTGAAGGTATGAGTAACAGTGTAGATTCTTTTATATGTATCAAGACGAATAAAGAAAACACGTATGCATGTGTACTACTTATTAACGTATATTTATCGTAATTTTATTTTCGAATAATAAATAAAATTAATTACAGGAAAACGAAGGTCCCGAAACTTCTGTCGATCAAGTATTCAGTGAATGCGTTTCGAATGATTCAAAAGTATCTCTTATAGCCAATAATGATGTAAATAATTTGTTCTGTATTTAATAGATGCTTTTAATTTAAATTTTTGTACAATATTGTGAAATTAGTGAAATAAATTATTATTTTTTAACAATATAAATTTTTTAAATTTACATTACAATAATGTGACCCAAATACAAAGCACATAAATATGGGCACCTTAAATTTTTTTTTAAATAAGTGCTTGTATGGATTAACTTTTTATGTAAGCCAATGTACAATTTCGAAGATCCTACGAATTCCATCAGCCTCAGTTAGATTCTTGCTAGTTCTGAATTGTTATACAGTACTACAGTAAATAACACTGATGTACCAGTTGCAGATAAAAATTTAAAGATGCCAATTCAATCAGATAATGCATAGACATGGAGTATGATAAATAAAATAAGCAAATAACCATCTCAAACAGATACTACACATAATTCAGTGATAAGTCTTATGGATAATACCAACAGCCAAAATATAAGTAATAAAAGTGATATTTACAAGAATCCACTTATTAATAAGTATAATAATACATTGGAAATATCAGTAAAGGAATATTTAACTTGGTCTACTGATAGTAAACTTAATTCTACCAGTAAGATATCCAAACAAAGGTTGAAGCTACCTCTAATCGTATCTGGAGATGAATGGCAAAAGTTACAAGAGACAAAAGAAAATGAAAACGAATAAAAATTAACAATATTGAAAAAAGAAAAATTATGTATGCAGAAAAAAATAAAGAAATCTGATGCACTTGAACGCAAACAAAAACATGGACAAGAACCAATTAAGAGAAAAAGAAAAACTTAAAAATCAATAATTAAAAATATAAAACATTTAAAAGAAAAAAGAGGCAGCAGAAATTATTGAGTTAAAAAATATAAAAAAAGCCAACTAAAAAAAAATTTTGCAAATTGAAAAAAGAACATGATTTACTGATTTAAACATTTGTTTCACCATGTTTTAAAAAATAGTTTTGATATTTACTTAATAAAAATTATTACATTTATCGATTTTAACATATTCTTATTTCTGCGTTCGCAGTAAATGAATTGCAGTAACTATTGGTAAGTCGCACAGTGTTTGGTAACTACTTTTTTTTTTTTTTTTTTTTCGAAGTATGTTTTTAAACTAAAACCATTTATTTATCACTCTAAAAAAATTTTTATCACATTAATAATAAAGTAATGGTGTCTAGATAAACTATTGGTACCAGTTTTTTGGTATTTAATAACTTTCTGTGATGTCCAACGTTCATTGGATTTCAGTTCGCAGTAGTTGGGTCATTTACCCCTATTTAACAATTCATTTTAAACGATTCGATCAAACATTTCCAGATTTTTGGAGATTTTTAATTTTAATTTCAATCACAATGCGAATCTTTAGAAGCTACTTTTTTTCGCTTCCTATAAGCTATGTGTCGTAGTTTTTCTGATTGTGCGAAATCCTTTTGCGAATCTTCAGTATCGTCCAAGTTATTTTGTCGCTGTCTGTATATTTTGTGCCTTTGTTTTTCTGATTCTTTGTAATCACATTGATAATCATCACTGGTATTTTCTGTTTTTTTTCTTTGCCTGTATGCGCGGTGCCGCATTTTTTCCAATTCTTTGAAATCAATTTGAGAATTTTCACTGGTCCTTTTTTTTCGCTGCCTGTAAGCTTTATGCCGTAGTTTTTCCGAACGTGCGAAATATTTTTGCGACTCTTCACTGCCGTCCGAACTTTTTTGCCTCTGTCTATACATTTTGTGGCGTTTTTTTTCTTTTTCTTCATAACTCACTCTTAATTCTTCATTTCCGTTTAGAACTTTCTGTCGCAGTCTATATTTTTTACCTCGTTCGCTGGATGTTGACGGTGGTTTCCAAAATCTGAAAATTAAAAATTAATGCTACTTACGTTTATGCAATGTAAAATCACAATGACATAAAAATATTATCAAAGCCAACAAAATTAAACATATAATACATTATTAATTTAATACATTAATATTTCTATGCATCGATCTTAATTTTTATTACTTTAGAAATTGAACTTTTAAAAATAAACATTCACTTGAAATCACTACATAAATATGAATGAGTTTACTTATTTACATAAAATTTTTATAATAAAATAAAATGCACACAATACAATTCAACTTTCAGGCTTCTTTTTATAGCTGATGAGATGACAAGATTTTTTGATCGCATAAAAATCTTTAATTTGTGTTAGAAAGACAAAATTCAAAATGCAATAAAAACCATAAAGATATTATGTAGGGGTAAACAAGGGTATTATTGCGGTTGCTCCAATTATTGCGGTACTCTCGAATAATGCGTATATTTTAATTGAACTGATGAGTTATGGATATTAAATACTTGAAATTATTAAATCAAGTTATAGAGTACCTGATTCATTGAACTTCAGTTAAAAAATAGCCTTAAAAACTTTACATTTGTATAGCAAAAAATCACGTCTGCAATAACTGGTGCACAAAAAATCACAACGATTTGACGCACTTAATTCTTAGACAATCGTTTAAAGCTAACCACTAAAAAAAAACCGCAATAATACCCCCGTTTTCCCCTAAGGACAAAGAGAGCTGTGATCTTTTGTGGTCACGTATAAGGTGACGGGCGGTTAGTGCCATACACAGGATAGAGTACCATGGAGGTCTTTTAAATAAACGCTGTTGGACAGTTAAATTTGAAGTTTCAAAACTCACAAAGGGAATTTAAATTTTTCATGGAACGAATGCAGAGCTCTTAAAAGTGTCTCCATAGGGTAAACGGGGGTATTATCGCGGTTTCTCCAATTATTGCGGTACTCTCGAATAATGCGTATATTTTAATTGAACTGACGAGTTATGGATAGTAAACACTTGAAATCATTAAATCAATTTATAGAGTACCTCATTCATTAAATTTCAGTTCCCAAATAGTATTAAAAACTTGACATTGGTACAACACAAATCGCGTCTGCAATAACTGGTGCACACATAACCTCTTTCATTATGATGGTATTATTTTGGATACCCGGTTGATTTAGTATTGAAATTGACCACAATAATACATACAGGCATTTAATAAAAAAAAAAAAAAATCACAACGATTTAACGCACTTAATTTGTTAGACAATCGTTTAAAGCTAACCACTAAAAAAAACCGCGATAATACCCCCGTTTACCCTACTTCCGCGAAATTCAAAAATGTACTTTAATCCCTTAAGAGCTATACATCATAGGGTTCGATCCTCACTGTGTGCACTCGCGGTACCTCTGTGGGATTTTTCCCTACACGTTCCATTATTACTGAGATAGCTCATGGCTCTTCGGTGTTATCGTGCGGTCGCAGTCAGTAATAAAAAAACCGTACCTAAAATTAAATTCTCAAAAACAAGTATGAAATGTGACCTAACGGAGTCCAATTAGGTACCAAAAAACCAAATAAACAACAAGAAAAGACTTTAATTCTATCATCCCAGAATCTTTAACCCCATTATCCCATAAATCCAGAAGTATTTGACCCCATAAGTTGATAACCACGGAGAGTTTTTTATCTTATAACATAGGGAACAGTTTATAAACTCCGTGGTTACTGGGTTATGGGGTTAACGGCTCTGGGATTTTAGGGTTATGGGGTTAAAGGACTTGGGATAGCGTACATTTTTTTATTTCCCGAGTGCCAGAAGGAGACCAGACAAGCAATTTAATTCATGTTTTTCTTCATTACAAAAAAATATGTACCTAAATAGCATTCTTTTACTTTTGATTTTGTCATTTACTCACGAAGTTGTAGTCGATTTTGTGACGATTCCCGTAAGACTACGTGTGTAAATGGCAAGTTTTTAGTAGCGGTAGGTATTCTTGTAAATAAAGAGGTAAACAGTAGTATTTTTTAAATGCAAATAAATGTCGTGGCATACTTTTTTATAGAATATTTGACTTTCAGAGATTCTTATCGTTTCAATATTTCAATCAAAAGGCATTGTACGTTCTAATATTAGTACTTCAAGTGAAAAAATATATATACATATTACTTACTCTTGCGAAGGATAAACATTTGCAGATTCTGAAATCGGTTCAGGAAATATTTTCATTTCTAGCGGTTCATCCTTAACGTCTTCATAATCTGAATGCATAATCGTGAGTGCAGTAGACTTTTATGTCAACGTGAGATAATATCGGTGTAGGGGCAGAGCTAATAAAAACACGTAACTTCACAGAAAAATTGAAGTTTAATGACGGCAGCCACGTGCTTCATGTTTTGACGTTCACTGAAACACAATCACGACAAAATCAAAACAACAAGGTACGTATACGTTTGCCATCTCACGTTATTTCTGTGCTCTGATTAGTAAGTAATACTAACTAAGCCTTACAAAGTGCTGATTCGCACATAACGATTTATTCAAAGAAACGACAGTAACAAGAAAAAAATGACGGCTCATACAGAGCTTTGAATGCTATAGTAGATATATAGTACACCGTTTACTATTTTGTGTAAAACGTGATGTGACCAATAATTGAACAAATTGAGAGGCAGTGTGCACATGGTCGAGCGCAGGACTCGGGGAGGTATTAGCGCTTGCAGCGCCAATTGCGGAGAAGGTGAGAAGCATTGAGGAAGAGAGAGCAACACAGAGCACAAGAGAGAAAACGTCTATAAGTAGCATCTTTCATCAACTCAATCTTTGTTCAGTTTTTATTTTTTATTTTTTTTATTACTAAGGGGCTTCGCCTCCTATGCGCTCTGAGCGCCAACCCCATCTTTTAACTATACACATTTTCTAACGATTATTTAATCAAAATTGAATGATTAAATTTCTGTTCATTAATCTGATTAATCGGATATTTTCAATTTTTATTTAACATGCAAAGTACTATTTTGTTTTTCTTTTCGAAATCAAACTTTTGAATTTACCCGCTCAAAATCAGCCTTAGCCAATCACGATACGTATTAAAATGCTTCAGTAACGTGACATTCTTCTTTCATATACATAGCGTTTTCGAGCGATTGCTCCGGAGCAGTCCGAGAGTACTTACTAAACTGTAAGAAAGGACTAACCGAAATTCAAAGGGCAGTTTTAACCAGCATGGAACGTTAAAGTTAATTAAATTNATAAATTTTATTTTTCTTGATACATCATCAGCCTCACGAAGTTGTCGGATAACAATTTAAAAACGGTCAAGTTTTCTCTCGTTTTTTGGCGCAACATAAAGTTTGTATGACACTCACAGTTTTATATTGTCTTGTACTCATACATAAAGAAGTTACTTACCAATAATGATTTAGACAAGTACTACATAAGAACCATACATTTAATACACTAAAAGAATTACCTTACTTTTTTAGGCACGACTGATTCACAGAAGTGCCCTGTATTTTGTCGTGTGTTGTGTATTTAAAAAATGTAACTGCCACTCATAAAGACATGTAAATCAACTATTTCAAAAGATTGTGCTTAGATTGGGTTTGTATTCATGTTTACACCAAAACCCGACAGTTTTTAATCCAAAAAATTTCGTCGAAGGGAAAAATGTTATCAGCCCCAGGATAGCACAATTTTCATAAATTAAAGTTAGTTTTTTTCAGAACCATCTTCATGTTTAAGAACTTTAAATACAATTAAAGTTAAATATCTTATAACGAAATTAACTTTTTTTCAGATTGATATCAAATTAATTTATAGGCATTACATTATTTAAAGAT